TAGGGGGTTCCGGGACCCGTTGGACCGCGTGGACCACCAGGACTTGACGGTTGCAATGGAACCGATGGTTTACCGGGATCACCAGGGTCTCATGGTTACGATGGGCCGCCCGGTTTACCTGGAATACCCGGACCACAAGGTTTTTAATTTATAAATGAAAATAAATTCGTACCTGTATAAATTATTATTATTTTAAATCTCAGGACAAAAAGGAGAGCCGGCTATCGGTCCGCCGGGTCTAAAGGGTCTTAAAGGAGAGCCGGGAAGAAGTGGATTCCCAGGAATGCCGGGGACACCGGGCAATGATGGCTTACCAGGGGCCCGAGGAGATCCTGGACTTATGGGACCACCTGTTAGTAAAACTAAACTTAATTAAATTTATATATTTAAAAAATATTTTCATCTAAAGGGACAAAAAGGAGATTCAGGACCTTATGGACCTAAAGGTGTGTAAATAGTATGTTATTGACTAAATTACTAGAAATGTACTATTTTTCTTAAATTCTCATACTACAATTGTACTGAAACTACATTTTAAATGTGAAATTACATTTTACAGGAACATTTTATGAAAAACATATTTTATGAAAATAATCTAACTTTGATTATATAAGGTGTGAATGGAAAAACTGTTTATTTAGTAAATTGTCAATAGAGAATGAATGAGACAATATTTAGTTATAAATTTTCAAATAATTGTAATTTTGTAATTTAGACCATGGTTATGTGAACATTTTCATATTTGAAACAATATTAAGGCTTACTAAAAATTACTTTCATATTTATTTAAATTTTCAATTAGGAAACACTGGCGTCGGGTTTGTCGGCGCTAAAGGAGAACCCGGAGACAAGGGTTTGCCAGGACTTCCCGGCAATAATTGTAGTTATTCTCACGGTGTCCCGGGTACAATCATTGGTCTCCCCGGGTCTAAAGGGACCAAGGGAGAAAAGGTTAGCCATTGTGTTGAAATGTATTCGTAAGCAAAGAATATTTATTTTCATCACTAATTAAAGGGTGAATTTGGAGTCCCAGGAGAGCGAGGATATGACGGCATTCCTGGAGTGACGGCATGTTATTCGCTATAATTTATAAATTTTATTTTTACAAAATCATAATTTACAGACAAATTAATTTTTATGGTTTGTAGGGGCCCCCGGGGGAAGTCGCATATAAAGGAGAAAAAGGATTACCCGGACATCCGGGCACTCGAGTATGATTTGAAATGAAATAAAACAAAATATTTATTAAATTATATTTAAGGGCAAAGAAGGATATCCGGGACCCCCTGGAAGTGTTGGATTTAAGGGCGATCGCGGAGAGCCAGGTCTCCCGGGTTTGGATGGAATCCATGGACCTAAAGGCGATGCGGGTCTGCCTGGCATTCCCGGACAAAGAGGAATACTCGGTCCACCGGGTCCACCAGGGGTTAGTGGTTTTGCATTTAGTGATATTAATATAATTGTAATCATAAACAGGGGATTGAAGGAAGAGCTGGACCACCAGGACCTTTGGGTCCCCGAGGTTTCCCTGGACTGCCCGGTTTGCCAGGAGCTGATGGATTACCCGGTATATTAGTAGTGACATATGTTTTGTAAATATTATGCAACAACACAAATATTTACTACTTATAGGTGAAATTGGACCGCGAGGTCCATCTGGTCTTCCTGGAGGGCCTGGCATTCCTGGTCCCCCCGGCAGAGAGGGACCACTTGGGCCTAAAGGTGTGTAAACGTATTCTTGGACATTTTTATTGATTTTAGTTTAGTTTATGATTTAATACATAAAATCTACACAAAATAGGAGACAAAGGAGACGGAGGCCTTCCTGGCCTTCCAGGACTTGAGGGACCAACAGGTTTGCCAGGAATTCCCGGCTCGAAAGGAGAACCAGGGTATTCAATACATTCATTAATTAAATAATGAATGAATTTAATGAATGAATTTATAAATTCATTCATTTATAAAATTTATAAAAATAATATTTTGTATGCAGACCCAAAGGAACACCAGGTTATTCTATACCTGGTCCTAAAGGTAAAAGTAATACATAATTGTTTGTGAATTTTAACAAATGTCATCATTATTTAGGTTTGGATGGAAGTCCGGGACTAAATGGCTTTCCAGGAAAAAAAGGTGACCATGGACCTAAAGGAGAAGTTGGAGCACCTGGTATATAAAAAATATATATAATTTACTAATCTATTTGTACACTTTATAAATAATAATTATTTTATTTTATTTAATCTAGGTGATTCGATTGACGGAATACCAGGTTTACCGGGTTTCCCTGGAACTAAAGGTATAATTAATTAGTTTCAATTTGTCTGATATTCATAAAAAATTATGATTTTTAATTAAAGGTGACTCAGGTTATCCAGGACTTTCTGGAAGGCCTGGACTTCCAGGTCTACCTGGATTTAAAGGTACTGCTTGTTTAAATGTTTTAACATAATTATTGTATTAATTGAAATAAATAAAATCATAATTCAATTGAATTATTTGCAAAAATTAGGTGAAAAGGGCGGTTCGTGTCTGTCATGTATTCCTGGAGTTAAAGGTTTGTACAAATGAATTGTATTTTATTATATTTATGTGTTTATATCGATATAACAGGAGAAAAGGGTATTCGAGGTTTCGATGGATTACCCGGTTTACAGGGGGATAAAGGAGAGAGAGGACCGGTGGGTCCCTCAGGTTTGCGTGGCGACGACGGTATTCCTGGATTACCCGGAATTCCCGGTGAAGAGGTATTTCTAGAATTAGTTTTCTTGTTTTATATTGACATTTATTTCAGGGAAAACCTGGTATTCCCGGAAGGCATGGTATTTCCGGAGAAAAGGGAGACCCGGCTATGGTTCCCATTGACTTTCTTCCGAGCAAAGGTATTTAGTTTTGAGTCTAACATTTTAATGAGCGTTACTTGTATTTTGAAATTACTTAATAGGGATAAAAGGAGACCCAGGAGTACCTGGAATTGATGGCCCTCCCGGTCGTGATGGCAATAACGGTCCCCCAGGTTTGCCCGGTCTTGTGGGTCCGATCGGATCTAAAGGAGATAAGGTTTGCTTACACTACAAGTATACATAATGTATCTCATAATTGACAATCTTTAAACAAATTAATACTAGTCCTATATTTTATAAATTATATTGAATTCATAATACAATACATTGAATTATATATATATATATTATATGAGATTAATTAACTGATTTTAGACACATAATACAAATAGAAATTAATATTTTAAAAGATTTTAAGAATTATTAAAATAAAACACAAAATAAATTTTAGGGATTTGCTGGCTTTCCGGGAGATCCAGGAAGACAAGGGTTACCGGGACTGCCAGGGTTTCCGGGCATAAAAGGTGATCCAGGAATTGGAAGGCCAGGAGCGACGGGAGTGCCCGGACCCATGGGGTATAAGGGAGACCTTGGATTGATAGGAAGACCCGGTCCAAAGGGAGAGCCAGGTTTGCTTAATTGGTTTATTGGTTTATATTAATTGACATTTTTTTAAATATAGGAAGACTTCCGCGTCCCGGAGAGAACCTAACGATGCCAGTGGGCCCACCAGGACTCCCGGGTGATCCGGGTTCTAAAGGAGATATTGGTTTGCCAGGACTGCCCGGTGCCCCCGGAAGGGATGGACTCCCAGGACTCAGAGGCGGAAGGGGTGAAAGAGGAGAAGATGGTCTTCCCGGTCCTCCTGGTCTGAGGGGTAATATTAAAGAGTGTTT